GCTGCTCTCCAGCCCCTCTGTCCCCAGCCCGAGGGGCTGCAGGGGGTTGTTATGGCCAAAGTGCAGAACCCTCCTTGTTGTGGGGACAAGGAGGACTGGGGAGCTCGGGTTCATCTGGACAAGCTCGACGGGAACAGGGACCCTTCTCTTCCCCCCGGGACTCCCGTTCCCACCCGCGCTTCCCGGTGACGCCAAAGCACGTTAAAAAAGGGGGGGGAAAAAAGTGGATTTCCCTCTGCCAGCAGTGCCAGGGGACGGGTATGAAGGACACCTCCCACATGCTGATGTATCTTTATGATTTGGGTCGATTAGCAGGGTTTTATCATTTGGGTGGGTTTTCGATCAGAGCACAGCGGTGCTGACTGCGCCAGGATTGTCGCGCTCCTGAAAATCCAACGGCACTTCCCTGGCTTCCACCACACCCCTCCACACAGACACCCCCAAACCTGGAGCCCCCCAGAGCCAGCAGCAAACCCCAATTCTGCAGCTTGGCCCGAGGCTCCAGGGCCCAGCAGGGATGGAGGGGATGAGGAGGATGAGGGGCCCCTGGGCAGGACTCACGGCATCTCCTCGGGCAGCACGTCCGCCAGGATGTTGATGGAGTCAGTCTTGGCTTTGGAGGTGGGGGCAGCAGCCAGGAGGATCTTCAGCAGGGCTATCTGCAGGAGAGGGAGGGGTGGTGGGCAGGGGTGGTCCTGGGAAGGGAAGTCCTTCCTTCTCCTCCACGTGCTGAAACTGGACAACTTCAAGCCAGCTCTACCAGAGCACACCCAACCTCTCCTTTTACCCCTGGGGAACACAGGCCAAGGGTGGGGATCACGGCAGCTCTGAGCTGAGCTTAAGGCATCACATGCACCTGAGCTCTGGTGGTGTGGATAAAAGAAACAAAGGACACCTGGAATAGTTTTTGGCTCCCACCAATGTGGAGGACCTTGTTCCTTGCTCCCAATCCTCTGCCCACATCCTCTTTTCCAACCACTGACCATGTCCCTGGGTGCCTACCCCCCTTGCTCCTCTGAATCCCTCCTCTTGGGCTGTACTTTCCAGTCAGCTCTGCTCTGGATCCCCCCCAAAATCTCCCCATCCGAGTCCTGACTATGCCCCAGCCATCCTGTGCCGAGCTCTGCAGCTCCCAGACCAGCTCCCACCACTCCCCACTCCAAAGCCCTTCCTTCCTTTCGGTGGCCTTACCATGTACTGGGGGAGGTTGTACAACATGGCTCGATACAGGACCTCACAGGGGGTTTCTTGGACTTCCTCTTCCCCCTGTCACAGAGAAACAGCAGAAAACAAGGGGAAAATGAAGTAAAAGAAAAGGATTCCTGGATTCCTCTGTCGTGGTCCCTCTGACACACCTCGGTCTGGTGATGGGGGGCAGCAGCTTCTTACCAGAGACATGGGGCACTTCTCCAGCTCCTCCTCGTTCTTGATCTGGACATCCGAGATGGAGACGTACTTGTGCTGGAAAAACCCCCACACAGAGGCACAGCAATGTCACCACCCAGGGAGGGGACAGCCAGCCATGGCAGCAGGCACTGCTTCCAGCAATATCCCAGTTATATCCCCAATATCCCAATTATATCCCCAATATCCCAGTTATACACCCAATATCCCAGTTATACCCCCAATATCCCAGTTGTATCCACAATATCCCAGTTATATCCACAATA